TGTTTAATTATTTTGTACTTAACACAGCAACAATTTGGAAAATCAATGTTGATTTTCTCAAATAATACTTTTAGTAAATCAAATGTATTTTTCAATATGTTTTCAGATAGAAATCACTAGTTGTCTACGACTATTACACGATTTCAATAAAATTTCTTTTTCATTCATTCACAAATAATTAAAAAAATTGCAAAAAATAACGATAAAATTCACAGACTAGCACTCACTACATATGTTTTTTTAAAACTGTCCGCTCACTCGAGGAGCAAAAATGGCGGATGGGAGTACTCATCTCTATAGTGCTCTAAGGCTACTAGAGACTCTATAGGAGGAACACGCCAATGTCATTGCTGGGGGACAGAATCAATGACGTGACTACACGAGTTCTGTCCCCCAGCAATGTACACGGCGCGTCCCTCCTATAGGGTCTTTACAGGTTACTATTGGTGCATTAGACAATTTATTCTCTTTTTTTCTTGTTCTCTTTCTCTTTGTTAATATTTGAATTATACGATTGATATTAATTAAATATAAATAACTACAAAATAAAACAAACAATATAAAATTAAATATACAAAACAAAATAAAATTCAATTATAGTAAAATGTTTGTACATACGAATTTACGGTAATTAATAAGCTTATATAAATTTCAAACAATCAAATAAGAAATTAGCGCTCTGAATGATAATTTGACTAATCTAAGAATGAAAAAATAATACATATAGTCTACAAAACTTAACAGAAAAAAAAATGCGGGAAGAAATAAAGAAAAGCAGATTGTTAACCCATTGACAAACAAATAAAATGTGTATCGACGCGTTCATAGGATACTATTTAATTTAGTTTAATTGTGAACACTCATATACAAACTCAGAAACAGGGCTTTTTATTTTAAAATTTACATTGATTTATGCAATTTTTTGAAAACGGGAATGCATCTTTAACATTCTAAACAAAACAGCATCGATGCACGACCGAAACAGTTAATTTAATAGTATACTAAACGTTGTTTGCCAAAAACAATTTTCCATTTATTTCATGTGCCATTGTAGACTTTGACATCTCTGAAAAGTCATTGGATATGAAGGAATTAATAAAACAAGAAGGGAGGTAAATATTTGTGACTTATATATCGGCATAGATAATATTGTATAATAGTAGATTTATTGTATCGATTGTTTCCAATGTAATGATTTGAAATAAAGCGCGCTTGTCGATCCGTCGATATTTTCTCGATCATAGAGTAAGTATGATGGGCGAGGAGCGGATCGCTTGGTATTACATGAGGTTCTCAATTCTCGAGTTCTCAACCGCGAGCTGCGCTTTATGATCGATTTGTCAAGAGCCGAAGCCAGTCTGTGCTGTTAAAGCCGAATGCAGGATCGATCGGCTTTACCCAAGGAAGTGTTAGGAGAATTGAAGAGTAAAGATTTCAAATTACTCGAATATGTGGGATTTATTATTCGGTTTGATCGTAGCAGGGGTTCAGCAACTTAGACATGAGTACGGAACGCAGTATATTACGAAGAAAGAACTTTGAACGGTCTTATGCTTTTATCTTCATTCTTCGTTCTACAACGCTTCAACGAAGAGACCGATCGAGAATTTTGTTGCTTGCACCGTTAAGCAACGCCAAAATAAGAAGATAACTTTGGAAAGCAGAATTTAGTGAAAAAAATGATGGCATCGCAAAATCAAAATATCATTAACGTGGCTTCGCCAAGCCCGCCGCCGGTAGACGGTCAGTCAGGAGCTGTTGTATCAAGTACTACAGTATCTACCATGAAGACACAATCCGTTTCTTCCTCGTTGTCGACACATACTAATCAACAACAGCAGCTTCAACAGCCCAATAACATAGAACCACTTGACAAAAGTTCCTCTAACACTTTAAAGGTATTACGATCGATTTATACAATTAACCTTCTTCCAATCATATCTTACTAAACAAAGGATGCGTGTCTCTTCTCTCTCTTTTTTTTTACATTTGCGTGACGATGAGTGCGTACGCGCTAGGCACTTTTCTCTAAATACTCTTGTATATGTTGATTTGATTTTTAATCAACTTATTCCTTTTGACTAAACAAAGGAGGACCTTAATAACTTCTTTTTAAATATTCTGAACTATAGATTCATATGTCAAAAATTATACATATATGATCTTTTTTTATGTTACAGCGCAATCCAAAGATGGAGTTGAATAAAACGGATTTATTAAAATTATTAGGATATCTAGAAGGAGAACTTCAAGCTAGAGACATTGTGATAGCAGCTTTAAAAGTAATTTCACCTAATTTATTCTTATATTAAGACGCAGTCTACGTAATTATTTTTCTTATGTTATACTTTGGATTATGCTATTACCAGAAGCTATTATTTATGCAGAAATAGTTTTACATTTTTTATTATGTAAAATAATATATCTTATGTTTCTAAAGTTAAATGAATAGTCATTGGTAAATAATTGTTAAGAATTTGGTTGAAAAAAAAACAAACAAAAAGAAAATCGAACGTACAAAAATATAAGTAGTCATTGGCATTTCCACAATCTTGCTTTTGAATATATTTGTATGTATTTCTACGTTGTGTGTATATATGAATCTATATATATATATATATATATAGATTCATATATATATGCATACGTATATATGTATGTAAATCCTTTGATTGTATAGTCAGAGAAGATGAAACATCTTCTTAGTTCACGGTACCTTAGTAATACAGCAGATCCACGCGCAGCACTTGCTCGCGATGTTGCAATTGTGGGCGGTGTTATCGGAGCAGAAGGAAATCAAATTGATCAACAAGTTGCCAGTTTGGAGGCTCTTGTAATGCAACAGAGAAGAACTCAATGCAGAATGAATAAAGTTCTTAAGGATGCCGAACTAAGGCATAGAGCTGTACGTATTTATTCTTAAATAAATTTTTCATAAACCTATATTTATCAAGTTGGCTAAAAATGTAACAGAATATAATATTTAGATTTATTGTTTATCAGGTGATAAAAGAACTAGAAGAAGAAAAGCGTAAACATGAGCATGATACTGCTCAGGGTGATGACATTACTTATGGACTTGAAATAGAAAGAACTAGATTAAAAAAAGAATTAGAATTAGAAAAACAAGAAAAGAAAAGAATAGAACTTGAATTAAAAAAAATGACCGACACGCTAGAAGAAGAGAAAGTCCGCCAGAAACAAATAATACTCTTACTTTTGGCTGAACGTAAAAAAATTATAATGAAATATATCGAAGAGAGAAAAAGATCTGAAGATTTGGCGCAGATATTGAGCGAAGAAAAAGTAAGAATAGATTCCATGGCTGAGGGTCTTGAAGAAGAAAGTAAGAAATCTTTACAAATGGAAGCAGAATTAGAAAAACAATTAGCGCAGTTTGATATAGAGAGACAACAATATAGACAAGCTCTTATTAAAGAGGAAAAGAGAGCAAAAGATCTTGAATTAGAATTAGAAAAATTAAAAAATGAAGTAGAAGCATGGAAAGAATCACAAGCGCGAGGCCTGCCAAGGGGCATTGGGGTAACTCCACCACCGCCTCCTGCAAAACCAGCAAATTTAATTGCTATGCCGACATTGAGGCCAGCTAATACATCACAGACAAGTAAGTATCATATTTTCCATTAAAAATAGGAATATAATTGTATATTTATCGTTATATATTTTATTCAGTTAAAACTTCAGTACTGGGAACTGGAACACCTATGGTCAGTAGTAAAGTCGTCCAACCTACTGCAACTGTATCTAGTGTTCCTGTCAGTGGACCAAGTAAGAATAATTAAAACGATTATAAGAGTATGTTGCATGTTTCATAAAAATATAGATGTATTGATAGTTATTGTAATAATAATAGATTTATACGTCTTTAGGTTTGCAATTGGTTTTTGCAATACATTGATATTATATATTCTATATTACTTTTTTAAAGCTATATGTACTTATTGTTATCTCACATTTTATTATATTATACAGCAACAGGAATAGCCAGATCGGTGACACCTGGGCAAGCATTACGTGGAGTCACGTATGTGCCTAATATACCACCAACGAGTGGTGAAACTGCAGTCCCTTCGGAAACACAGGTAAATTATTCACATTTCCACCCTCATTCTACTCTAATCTAATAATTGTACAGAGCCTATTTACATAGAAAATATACTGCAAACAAATATTTTTAAATTAATAGCAGTAAAATTTTAATGATTTATTATTTTTTTTTTTGGTGAAAAGAAAAGTAAAAACAATCTGCATGATGCACAAACGTCTAATGTAAGTATATAGGCTCTTTATAGAAACTATAACTACTTAAAAATTTTAAATAATAGTAACAAAATGATGTAAAAAAATAAGGTTTGCATTTGTACAGATCACTTATACTGGGAAAGTTTCAAAAGTATAAGAAAGATAATTTGGTTTGAAATAAATATAAGAAAATAGTTCACTTGATTGCAAATAATATGAAATATTTTTACATTTCTAATTCATATTTGATAGTTTTGCAAATTGACAATAAAAGATGAGAACAAAGTGATAATATTTTATAAAATAATAGCTATACAAATATTTTTTCTCTCTCTCTCTCTCTCTATATATATATATATATATATATTGTAATAGCATTATTATATTAAAAATAATTTCAAAACATTATCTTCAGTAGTAATAGAAACATTTTTTTTATAACTACTAGTCAAGAAAAAAGTTTTTGTTTAGTTAACTCATTTGCATTAAATATATATTGCGTATATTATTCATCTATAGATAATTTTAGCTTTATACCCTGCTCTAGTCTTATAGTTTAACATTGTAGATACCAAATACAATGTTTTAGTCTGTAATTATTGAATAGCCACAATAAATGTACATATATTACATTACTTAGTAAATATAAAATCTGTGGTATCAAATTATATTTTCATTGTATATATATAATTATATTAATTCTAAGCTATAAAATTCAAAAAAGAATTTTGTTGTTAAACGAGTAAACCTATTTTTTCTATTAGTATAATTTTGTATTCTCTATCTCTTAATTTGTGTTGTATCAAAGACATCTTATTTGAAATAAATTATTATTTAAAGATTTATGACATTTCATTAAATAATCATGCATTAATGTCTTTTTTTCATTAAATGACATTTTACGTATACTTGCAAAGAATTGCTCACTGCAATTTTCTTAAAGATCATGAGATATTGTAAAATTTTATTAAAAGAATAATATTGAAAATGCCACAGATTCTATGCCGAAATTTTTATTTTTTGTTAAGTATGATTTGGTTATCCCATTTACATTATTATTAAATATTGGTGAAACCTTGAAATATTTCTACCATAGACACCTAGTATGCCATTTTTATAAGTTACCACATCATCGATACTTAGGAAAATATTTTATTATAATATTCTTATTTTATGTACATAAAATTATTATTCAGTATGTACATTAATTAAGTCCTTGATTAAAAGTTGTATGCAATTAATTTCTGAGCTTTATTTACAATTTTTTCCTGCTTATCTTCCCTAATTGCTGTCCTATAATTGCTACTGCTAAATCTATATGGTTTGGTTATATACATTTTTCGAAGAAAAAAAGAAAAGAAAAAGGAACAATCGTTTAGAAAATCATCATCGCATGATACATACTTATATAATCTCGAATCATGTTATGACTTCTTTAGCTATGTATTACTATTTTATATTAATCGTATTGAAATTTAAAAACAATATATCACTTAATTATTTATATGATTACAAATAATATAATTTCACTATGTTCAAATTTGATAATAATAATTTTGTCACCCTAATTAGTAACCATTCATCACTTAAAAAATGCGTAATTACCATCCATTACAATTTTCCTTCAAATAAAACATTTTATTATTAGCTAAAACATTTTTCTAAATTGTTATAACTATAGAAACATTATATAAACGGTTATCATATACCTAAGTCCTCTTACAGAATCTGTATTAACTACACACTATTACACATTTATTTATTTTTTGATATTAATACAAAATTTCTTGTATCACTGTTTCAAAACTTGCTTGTAATGTCTATATAGAGTATATAACATATATACTACACGATCTTCGACACCTTTAATCGCTATTGTTTCTGTTTCTCATTGATTTTCCTGCTTTGAATCGGTGCCTTGGCGTGATCTTTTTTTCAATATTATCTTAAATATTGGGAAATATGTAGGAATCGTGTGGAGATATACTTATATCTGATTTCATAAACGTTAAATTGGCTGTGCTACATGTTCATTTCTCAGGCTATGGACAAACGACCAGTTGTAGCTGTTCCTCCCAATACCGGTGGGATAGCTAAATTAGTACCATCAACGCAAACTGCAGGGAAGCATGGTTTTCACGTTGGTTCTACGCAGGCTGTTCAAACACCTGGCACACTATCATCAAAAAAACCACCTCTTTCTCGTGGCGTTCCTCCTCCAGTACCACCTAATAAACCAGTGGTACCACCTAAAAAAGAGGCAGCTTATCTTAGGAGACCGGAATTATCTCAGTCAGCCCAGGATACAGTTAAATTTGGTAAACAGTCTTCATCTCATCCTACAAGCGGAACTGTTCCTTTACAAGCGCAGCAAGCGATAGCTGCTTCTACTCAAGCTCCTGACGAAGAGGTCAGTAATAAATACTGTGTTCTAAACAGTAAAATAAGTTAGATATTTCTATGTAATTCATATATCGCAGGGTATTACATTTAACGTCTATGTGATATAGTTAAATTATAGTTATATGCGTCATTTATGTCTATATATGTATATATATGCGTCATTTGTGTCTATATACATATATATACCTACATAAAGTTAGTATTTTATAAATACAGCTGATTGTAAAATATGATTTCAGACAAAGCCACGTTGATTTATCAGCAAATAAAACCACAATCATGTATAGAAATTTTACAAAGTCAAAAACTATGTATCGTGAGCAATGCTTGGAAACTATATTGGGAATATATACATTGGTATCATTTTACATTTATAAGATTGACGAAGAATTCGGATTCATGAAGATTTATATACTAGCTAATTTCACTTTATGTAAATATATATACCATAGTAGTACTGCACTTACAATTGTATACTTGCAGAGTATTTAAGTGGAAATTAAATGTATGAAGAAATACATTAGGTCAACTTCATAGATACTTTAGAGATTAGGAACATATATATTATGTTAGATAAATTAATGCAGAATAAAGATCACGTAACTTTCGTCAAATTTTATGTATAAAGTTTTAGATTAGATTGAGAAAAACAATTTCTTTAATAATAAATCGTATTACTGCAAAATCTGTATACGAAACATTCGTGAAAGTTACATGATTAACATTCTGTTTTATTATACTGATAATAAAAACGGAAATAAGTACGAATGTATAGTACAATCATTATAAATAATTCAAACATTCTGAAAGAGACAATATTATGCAACATTTTATTTTTTAATCGAATTATTTTTAAACTCATCAATTTTGCTAAACTTAATCGCATAAGTATTCTTTGCTCAAAAGAATATGTATCTTGAAATGTGCAATATAGTAAAACTTTTATTGTACTAATACTGTACTCATTTTAAAAATGTAGCATAGTAATCTTATCTAAAATCTTGTGTTTTTAAAAATCGCTGGACATTGATGCAAAAGAAAATTAAAGTGCATAAAGCATTGATAAATTAAATAATTTTTAGTTAAGTAAATACAAATACGTATGTGCTATAATCACTGCCTTGCCTCGTTTTATTGCATACATTAATAATATATATGTTGACAACGGTATCAAACAAGACCGTATAAACTTACAAAAAAAGCATTACAAATTTAATCATTACACAGTACTATCATTGTTCATTTCTCGATACATTGAAATTTTACTATACGTATATTTTTAAGCAAAATAAAGTGGAATAAAATGAAATGACACAATAAGCCTGTTAAGAGTACAATTAAAAAGCTTCATTGACAATACATATAATATGTCAAAAAAGCAAATGATTTGCAATTTAAAATGCAAAGTAAATTTCACTTATCTGAGAGTTTTTTGTTATTTACTAATGCAAGAACTCAAAGTAACTAAAATTAAAAGAACTACTTAAGTACTCTTGACTTGTGTATATCTGTAAAAAGAAGAAGGAAATAAAGAATGTTAATTCAAAATTATTTCATTCTTCTGAGACAAGAAATTGACTACAACAACAACAAAATCTATAGGATTGATACAGAGGTGATATAGATGATACATACCCACGTTGTGATTTTTATGTGAGACTCATTATCAAAAACAAAAGAAACATATAAATGTGGTTTATCTTCCTGTTTATTACATTTCTTTTTATTATGATTCCTTGTAAATTTTCATAATTAAACCTTTCACAATGTGGAAAATCCATAAATATAATCTCATAATAGTTATACAAGTTTGCGATTAATAAAATTTAACTTACATATCTCTCTATGGTAATGATATCTTTTTTATAGCGCAATGGTTGAGTTTCAGTCTTATTGTTATTAAAACTCTTGCAATTGTCGTCGATGCATTTGTTGTCTTCCATATCGAACTAACTTTCTTTAACTCAACTATTGTCATTGACTATACAAATGCAAGGAATTAAATGAACATCAATTTTTGCAAGTTAATTTTATCAAAGATCTTGTATATATGGTACTTATTCAATTAACGAATAAGATTTTTTAAAGTAATTATCGTTATTTGTTTTTTGATCTATAAAACGACGATGTTCTTCAACATTTTAAAATATCTTTTACTCTTTTTGTGATAGTTAATATAATTTTTATTTTTATTTTAACTAGAGTAATCAGTTCTGTTATATTTTTATTTAAAGCTTTTTAAATTTTCATGCCTTACAAACATGTATTTATAAATGGCATGTATTTTAAGACAAAAATAAAATTTGTTAAGCTATTATAATAATGTCATTCCAATATTCCAATAATCTATTTGAGAAACGGGAGCGAGCTTCGTCTAAGGATACATTTGTTATTTCTTCTTCGTTTCTGACATAATTATGTTATGCCAGAATATATGTTAATATATATTTTAATTAAAAGCCGAAGGAAAAGATCTTTCACATTGCTTATTTTATTAGATTTTCTTGTAAAGTACCGTCTGCATTTTATAATAAATTTATTGCAGCAAAATTTTTTCTTTTAGTAAGAATACTATAGGCTGAATGTCATTCAACAACTGGTTAAGAGTTGAGTTTCAGACAGTGCTGTCAGATCGTGGGTAAATCTTACCCTCTCCCTGTGCCACTGGGATTGCACACAATGAAAGTTTTCCATGTCCGTGTGTTTGGGATGTCAAAAGAAGTCGAGTGTAACCGAAGTTGGCGGGCACGCCGGAGTGGCACACTATGAAAGCGACTCGTGTCGTCCGAACACATGGACACGAGTTGCTTTCATAATGTGCCACTTCGTGGCCAACCGCCAACTTCGGTTACACTCGGCTTTCCTCGAAATCCCAAACACACGGACATGGAAAACTTTCATTGTGTGCAATCCCAGTGGCACAGGGAGAGGGTAAGATTTACCCACGATCTGACAGCACTGGTTTCAGTAATCTTGGTTATGCCTTTCTTTTAATTATGTAGACAAAATTATAATAATAAACACGTGCTTCTAATCTGTGTCGATAAAACAGATAATGTTAAGTCTTGATCGTTACCGCCACGGAGGATAGATAACAGAATTCCGAACGAAAAGAATGGTATCAATTTATGGGACAAGATATTTTGCCGGTAGGGCGTGCTGCTTTTAACAAAGTATTCGTTTAAATATTTACGCGGGAAGTCTTGTTGTTATTGACAGTTCTGAAAAAAAATATTTTGAGAAACGTGGAATTAAATAAAAGTTTAAGAAAATTTTTAGAAACCTCAAATGTTTTCAACTCAGCAATATCGAGAAGTTTAAGAGATAATCTGCAAAGTTAAAAACATCTGATATTAATAAATCATAATACAAAAATCAGTAGGCATCAAACCATTTTGTTTAAAAAAAATAGATTTATGCGAAGAAAAATTTTAATAAATTGAGTTTATAGTTCATTTTTAATCTTTCCATGTAAAACTATTAAAAATTGTCTCTATGAAAATTTACTAGTAAAAATATTTTTAAACATTGTCAAATGCCCATTTATTTGCGTATCACGATAAATATACTTGAAAAAAAAAAAATAAATAAGTTATTGTCAAACATATTATTTATTAATAGTACAAATAAAACATATTTAATATTTACAAACCAAATTAGTATAGTTTTAAGTGTATCCGGAATATTGCTATCGAGAATTTTAAATTATTTTTTAAATTAGAGTGATTAATTTTTTTATTGATTTACTGAGCATTTCAACATTCTTTAGAAAAAAAATAAAACTAATTACTTCTATATTACACACAAAAAATAAAAATATAACATTTTTCAAATATTATTTAAAAACTACACAAATGTAATAATCAATTATTTGTTAATAAATTTGTTATAAAATTTTTAATATTATCTTGAGATTACTCACTTTTGGTGCTTTGAATAAAGCCACTTTTCCTAAATTCTCCCCTACCTTTCGGTCAGTAAGGCAACTATAAACAGCACAACACTTTCCCATTTTTTAATAAAAATTATTCTAAAAAAATAAATTAATATTTTATATTTAATTTACGTGTAATAATAATAATAGTATCGGTGCACTCTGAATACTTGCGCAGCCAGTGGCAAAAAAGAGAACTATGATCTGGGTCAAGAAATGACTACCACAAAAAATGGGGAAAATCCTATATCGTTCGGACTCCTGGTATCTATCCTCCGTGGTTACCGCAGACAATTATTAAATATATATCAATAAAATAAATATCTATAGGTGAGTAAGAAAGAATTCTGTTTTATCGATTGACAAAGAAGCAGTTATCTCGTCCATATTTGATTTCTTTAGCATTGTTATGTTTACAATTTTCAAGTAAGATGAAAGTTTGAACTTTTTATATCATTCATCTGTATATATATATATTGTAATTATTTTATAATCATACATATTTAAATATGCCATCGAGAGGCGAAGATATACTCAAAGGTTTTCAAGTGTATCCTTTTATTAAAGTATAATCTGCTCTTATACATTCGGCAAATTACGAAAATGCATAGGTTAAGGTCAACTGTCAAAAAAATTGTTTTTATAGTGTAATACTTATCTTCTTATGGTGTTATTTTTCTTAATCACTGAATTAATTGTAGTAATTGGATGAATTTAAGAGATGCCGATAGTGGAAAGATTTTGTGGCAAGGCAATGAAGATTTGTAAGCATTTGAAGTTTTCATAACCTATGAATGAACCTTTTATTTAAGCTGCTGTATTAAAAAGATGATCATTTAATTAATTGGATTATCAATTCGTAGATCTATTCCTGATGTTGAACATGAAGCAAGAGTACCAAAAAAGATTTTAAAATGTCGTGCAGTATCTAGAGAAATTAATTTCAGTTCTGCAGAACCAATGGAAAGGTTTAGATTGGAACAAAAAGTACTCTTCAAGGGTCGTTGTTTGGAAGAATGGTTTTTTGAATTTGGTTTTGTTATTCCAAATAGTACAAATACATGGCAGAGTTTGATTCAAGCGGCTCCAGAAAGTCAAATGATGCCAGCTAATGTATTGAAGTAAGTCGTACTTTCTATAATAAACAAAAAAAAAGAAAATTACATTTTATTAACACTTATATTCTTTTATAAAAACAGTGGCAATGTGGTAATAGAAACAAAATTTTTCGACGATGACTTATTGGTGTCAACTAGTCGCGTTCGGCTGTTCTATGTATAAAATGCTTGATATTTGGTCCATATTGGGATCTGGGACCAATCGTATTAACAATTTTTATTACACTTTTGCAATATGATACAGGGTTCTTATTCTCTACAGTTCTATCTTCAAATGCACCTCTAGAGATGAAAGTAAACTATACAAAATTTATTCACGATTTTATTTATAATTCTGCAATGCTTTATGCACCATTTTATTTATTACGTGCATCATGGTGTATTTTCTTGAAAATAAGTTTGACTATGTAAGAAAATTTTGATAATTAAAATACTTAATAATATTCTATTATAATTCTTATATATAATAAGCACAGACACTGAAGTTTTACTCTTAAAATATAATTATATTACAAACTTTGTATATATTCGAATACACTAAAAGCAAGAAAAATAAATGTCATAAGTAATAAAAATGAAAACTTAATCGTATATATTATGTTAATTCATCCTAAAATGAAGAAACGTTCATTCAATCGAAAAGAAAATTGTAAAAGGAGATTGCGAAACTATCGTAGATACTTTCGTGAACATTTCTGTTATTACACAAAGACGATTTTTCGAATTTGATAAATTGTTAAGCTTTGTATATAAAGTGTCAAACAACAAGCTTGATAGAATTCAGATATACTTTTTGTACTGTACACCCGTACTATTGATTCGTGGTGTACAAGCAATACATTTTTGAGGCTTCACTACCCCTCTTGAGGGAGTTCACGTTGAATATACTCCGCGTCCCCTCCTCTTTTTCTCTCTTTCTCTATCTACTACCACGCACAGGTGTAAGAAAAAAAGAAGGAAAAGAGAGGAAAGAAACGGCAGAGTTGCAAAGCTGCTTGCCTATCCAAACGAACGTTCTCAACCAACGTAGTGATTCGATTACCATTTGCGAATCTTCTGGCAGGCTGTTACTCGATTGATCTTTAAAAAAAAATCAAGAATCAAGTAAAAAAGAAAAGTGCAAAAAGAGGAAGTAAAGTGATCATTATTTAGATAAAGAATGGATTTAAAAGAAGAGGACGAAAGCGGTAACGAGAGCAGTAGACAATTATTTTTGGTTGGTGCACCCCGTGACCCTTTGGTGTCCACCGGTGCGATCGTCGCCTCTGGAGGAGCTAACGACGAGATCAATTCTGGAGGAGATCTACAGTCAACTGCTCTGGCTAGTCTGATGAGCACACAATCTTCCTCCGTTTGCTTTCCTACAAAATTCAGTAAGTGTACCCTGCTACCCCGGATTTGATTTAATTAACTGCTTCTTTCTTTCTGTCTCTCTCTCTCTCTCTCTCTCTCACACACACATTCTCTACATGTCGGCCTGCTAGTTGGGGTAGAGAAGACTCAATTAAATTATTGCTAAATGCATTAAGCAGATAGGCAGCCCTTTTTTTAAATAGAATTAGTGGTAATCAGTTTAACTGTTATGAACCGTTTTACTCGGTAATGAATGCAATGAGATTAAGTACCGCCACAGGTACCACCGCTGCCGATTGTCTTCGCAGTACGATTAATCTCTAACAATCTTTCTCAAATCTGTACATTATACGATTTTGTGTTTTATCAAAGCCTATCTTTAGTGCAAAAGTTTGTGAATTAGATTTGTTACATTTGTGTACACAGCATACGATTTTTCGCCAAGTTCTGGGAACGAAGATAGACAATCATCCGGAGGAACTGGCAAAAGAAAGCAAAGAAGATATCGTACCACTTTTACGAATTTTCAATTAGAAGAATTAGAAAGAGCGTTCCAAAAGACACATTATCCTGATGTTTTCTTCAGAGAGGAACTTGCCCTAAGGATAAAATTAACTGAGGCTAGGGTTCAGGTAGTGTACCTTCTAAACATCTTGTAAATCATATCGTATAAGTACTTTTCTAGAAAAACGTAAAATATATCAATTATTTATCCATTATATTTTTATTATATATCATTTAAAAATATTTCTTTTGCGTACAGGTATGGTTTCAAAATAGACGAGCTAAATGGCGAAAACAGGAGAAGCAGTGTAAAGTTGCAACTCACCTAACATCTTATCTTCCTTCGTCGGATTGTCAAGAAGTGCAACAGCAACAGCAATCCGATCATTTATTATTGGAACCACCGCTAGGCAGTCCACCACCTATTTACCTTGGAATGGAATGGGCTGGCTTTTCACCTTATAGCAACACAGCCACAGCTTCTCCTCTTGTTGTTAATGGTATGAATAAGCCACCGGAACAAGAAACGGATGACAATCCATTACTAGATCCTGAGCTTTTACAACTAAAAACATCGCGTTCTTAATGATACAAATTACTGGCAAGTAAAAAAAAAATCACGTAGTTTCCTAATTCGAAAACACCAATTTACATAACGCTCTTCGATTAAAATAATTAAAATGATCTTATATAAGTGCAACAATACAATTAATCAAAGAAAAATGTATTGTATTTTGTGCAATATATTATTAAGATGGAAGTAAGTGGACCAAAAAAGGTACCTCAAATGTGTCTCAAAAGTAACTAGAGACTGACAAGAATAATCCAGATAATAGATAAAGAAACAATGTATTTTGAGTACTGTTATATAGATTTTGTAAGAAAAGGCTTATAATTAAAATTTTTTCTTTTAATAAGCCTTGGTATGAAGAAAATGCAATAAAAAATGTTAATAGCCATTATAAATTTGGGAAGAATAATAAGATTAAGTTAAGTTGATGATAATTAATAAAGTTATCGATGTGATGCTACATTTACTAATTCTCAATATAAGTAATTCTTAGCTCTGACTTAAAATAACATCCTCTTTATTCGATGTGCATATATTACAAGTCAAGGAATCGACTAAAATATTAATCGCTCAATTTAGGAGCACATAAGCTTTTCAAGATGCTCCCTTTGATTTTCGAAATGACATTAAGATAGATCATAAAGCATTGTTATAGATTTTACCTGTTTGAGATTCTATATTGAAAAAGAATATATTATCAATAAAATGAATTCTTTTAAATTCACAAATTAATATTGACGTTAGAATGATAAACCAAAAGAAAAAGGGAACATCCCGGGGAAATAAATTAGTGATGCCTTTCACGATAAGGTTACGCAACATAGGAGTACTCATCGGCACTGTTTGGAGTACGTTCAATGTATTGCTTGTCTATCAACGCTTCGATGCACTTTTTGATCATGCCGATGGAGGGCGCAAAAGTAACTTTAGACTGACCAAGTACCTGTAATCAAATCTTCCCTTTATAAATGTTTTTTATAGTTATTAAATAAGGATTATATATTATTCTTGATGAATTTCTTACCTCTTGTAAAAGTTGAGTATGTTTCAAAAGTTTTCGACTTTTCATTATACGAACTATAGCTGCTTGCAAGTACAATTTTCTATCATCATCAACGCTGCGATGCGTTGCCTCAGTATCGTGAGGTGCATCACGTTGTAAAGCCGCAGTGACGCGGAACTTGGTTCTTTTATTCTGATAATCGAAATTAAGTGAAAGAATCGTGTCTTCTTTCAAATCGCCCTCAGTTGATTTCTTTAAAATTTTACAATCAACGAGACTCACGGCGTGTTTAACTAATTGATCATGAGATAAATGTAACGATGCCGCTGCTTCTTTGCACTGTATAGCATCGCACTGTTCGAAAAGAAATAGCAAAGCCATCTGATACGTTTGCACTGTCACTAAATATGGTTTCTTTAAATAATTAAATTTTAATTCTCCTTGGCACAAGTGATGCAACCAGGTCAATTTTCGACCACTAAATTGCGCGTGATAAAAAGATTCAAAGGCTTGTACAGATTTTTCTAATTGTTGTGGAAAGTGAAAAGGGCCAGGTGAAGTTGGTAAACCTAAAGGCCACGCTCCAGCTTGTAATACGTATACCACAAATCCAATGCCTAATTGATTATCCGCATCTCTTTCTCGGAGACTGGCTGTAAATTTCGCATTTAAATCTGTTGATACTGACATGTCGGTAAACATACGATGTAATTTATTTGTAAATTCATATCCGCAAGCTTGTTTTAAACGATCTATCATGGTCTCTTCCGCATCCATTGATTGAGATTGTTGGTGTATCAATCTCCTAGCCAACATACGAGCGTAAAACTTTTGAAAAACGTCTTTGTCATCGACGTACTTAAACACAGTTATAGATCGTCCCAATTTTTCCTCGATTTCGCCTTCCGATGCAACTCTAGCAGATTTTTTTAGAAGTGAGTCACAGTATTTGGCAAGCTGCATGGAAAGCGTAATTGTTAACTTAACTTTATCAAACGGTTCCAGATTTTATTTCCTTTGAATGAAAGAAGAAAATAATGATTACGTACAAGTTCGGGTGCTCGAGCTGGTTGGCGTGGAACTGGTCTATGATTGACGACAGCCGAACATGCTTTATCGAGTGCGCTTATAAAAGCTTGATCTCCTTTGAATACTTCTCCAATTAATAAGGAATATTTAGTATGCACATCTAGTATGCTTTCTACAAATTGAGTGTATACCTAAAATAAGGAAAATTTTTATATCGAATTTCTTCCATGCCTTTTCTTTAATATTTTTCAAACCAATGAATATATTTATATTTAACTAAAATCTTAATCTTACATTTTCACCTTGTAACGAACCAATCGCTTGTAATCCCTGCTGCGTGATATGTTGAGTAAATTTTTGTACGAGCGGAGCTAATCCGGATGGTAATGGCCTTAATAAAGCATAAAGTAATTTTAAGTCCCATTTGCGTTCATTTTGTATCATTGCTTCTGCTTCCGCGTGTAACCAAGAAAGATGCGCAGCTACCATTTTTTCTTCACAACATTGAGTTACCTATAAAAATTATCATTTGATCATTTATAGCATTCATAATTTATTCATTTGTTTTTATTATTAATTAAGGAAAGAAAGAAAGAAAAAAATGTACTTTGGGCATTGAACTACTGTGAAGAAACTTGTAAGTGCGAAGTTCTTCTAGATTAAGTCGCCAAGAAACTCTTTCCATGTAACGAGTAACATCAGATTGTTGCAACAATTCGGATGCTTCCCTCGCATAAAAATCTCCGGTAGTTTCCAAAAATGGTTTTTCAAATATTTCTTGATACATCTAATTAATATCATCATTATATAAAGTGTCAGTTATTTAACAATGAAAGTATAGTTTCTATTATAATAGAAAATATATTCTTACATCTAGTTGTCCTTTCACTTTATATTCTTCTACCCGCACAAAACTCTGTATCACTCCACAAATCACATCGGTTGTAGCAGGTGGTGCTTCTCCTATCCTGTCTGCGTTAATACTATCTAGGACAAGAGCGACAAGAGCCTTTTTGAGTGGCGCTATCATTTTTTTCTTCCAGATATCTAAGCCTAATTCACCGATTTCCATCTGCTCTTGACAATCGGCGGACATAGTAGAAGAACTTCCATAAAAAAGCTCTGCTTCGGATAATTTCTGCATTTTAATGTGTTGTTGATTTAAATATAAATACAGACAATGTAGATAGTTTATGCCTTGCGAATATTCTGTCCAGGCTCGATGGTAAGCCTGAAGCAAACCAGTTTCACCTTGAGCACGAACTTTTGTTAATAATTGAGAAACATGATTATCCAAAAACCTTTTTGTTTCATTGTATAATCTATCTGCCAATGGTTCTGGATATGCAACGCACAAGGAATATACATCGCTGCAATCAAATTTCTTCCATCAAATTCATTTATTTAGAAATATATTTCTTTCCATTTATTGGGACTTACCTAAATCTGTCGTTCCATGTTGCACGTGGGACGTTAGCCAAGGTTATTACTCCTTTAACGGTTTCTTGCAAAACGTCCCAGGTTCTTGTGAAATCTACTCGCTTGGGTTTTAGTGACATCCTTTTCCTTGATCCACGGTCAACGAGTATCCCAATTGGAATATTAATAAATCAGTAACTACCTATATAAACTTTGTTTCAGGTATAATTCCTAATATCACAATCCTGAAATATGAAAATAATTTAAGTTATTTTTTTACTATGATCTTCGGATCGTGCAATTTGAAGAGAAAGTGAAATAAGAGTAACATTCTATAATATCAATGTTCTTTGTTTATAGATTCTTAAAGCTAAAGTCTTAAAATATATTCCAAGAATAATCTTCAATTTATAGTCTAACAGTCTAAGCGTAGAAGGCTTTGTCTGCATGTTTTGTGTATAACGTGTTGGCGCTTAAAAATAATATATAAAAGTGAAATGCACGGCGTATATATAAATATAAGGAATTTCATGGTCGTTCTAATTCTTATCTTCAATACAATTAAATATACTTCATTATATCTAGAACCCCTGGAATTATTTCTAATTAATATTGATTTAAGATAACATGACAATACAAAAAAACAACCCCCAAAATATATATATAACTATAAAATAAATTGAATGTGTTGGATTGATACACAAAGTCGATGATCGTTTAACGTACACTAATGACGGTTTCTCATCAAATTTGGGTTCCTTAGTTAAAAGAAAAAGTGTAATTAAACGATGAGAAATTGGAATCTTTAATGCACACGCATCACACACGCACACAAATATATATGTATATATGTATATATAATGCGAGTTACAGCTGACTCTACTTTACACAATCCAGATGTTCGCGAGATCGAGGCCACTAACCAAAAAGTCAAAGGGGGGCAAAGAGCACGAATCCTTTCGATTAACTCAATGATCTTTCATCGATTTCAGCCATCACAACGACGGACCTGTTATGGGCCGCTTATTTTTGGCGTATCGCGAGTCATTCCCTGTTGCAAAATGCATGACACTTGCAGTATTCTGCGATGAACAAACGCATATTTAATTATCTTTGATTTGGAGAACACTATTTCTCGTCCTTGTTTTATTATTTCTTCTTTTTTATCCACTTATATTTCCTTTCCACTATTATCAAACAAACGCTAAAACAAACTTTTTTTCTATGCCGTTATTAACGCGACTAAACGTACGCGAGATATTTTCTAGACAACTCTTTTTCTCTCTCTCTCTCTCTCTTTCTCTTTCTCTTTCTCTCTTGCACACTCTCTCTTTTTCTCTTTCTCGCTCATAAATCTCTTAATAACATCGCACAGCCATACTTTTTTTCTTTTAACTTTCAACTTTCTGGTTATCTTTGGAGGAATAATGGAGAGAAGAAAATAGATTCTTCCGTCATGACTGGATGCTATAGAAAAACTTTATATAGCAAATGCAGTTCCTCTATCGCCCGCCATTTTCACGTTTCTATATTTCTATTGTCCTATTAACTTGTTGCTTCGTAAATGTTTTTATATATTTACGATTTTTCAATTGCAAGTAAATGTATTTGTAATAATATTGTTTTCAAAAACTCTTCACGAATATTATTATTTTTTTCATTTTTCTCATTAGAAATTATCTAGATAAATACTCGTATTGAATTAGGCGCGCAAAATAAATTCAATATGGCGGACTTTAGTATATTCTGATCTCTTCAAAGCAAATCCCAGTGTATATGATATGTATTTATGCGTGTAATATATTTTTACTATACGTAACATGTACTTAAAACTACCATTTATATATTTGTATATATATATAATTATCTATATAAAATATATATATAATTGATATTTAAACTTAAATAAGATACTATTGATATGTTAAGCATTATTCATTGACTGAGTTGCATTTTTGATACTTAGATATAAGGTAGTACATCTATGTAAGACTTTGTTTATGTTCACGATTGTCTCGTTTGATGCGGTACTATATTCCTGGTTCTGGAAAAGATTCGTGTTGATTTTCAAATATAATATTAATTTATACTATTAAAAATGGTAAGTATATTTTTATTAAAATAATTTCTTTTATATTTCTATATTCAATTAAAATGAAAGACAATTAATTTGTCAATTCGTTGAAAGTTTTGTTGTTGTTAAAATTACAGATGACATTGCATATTTGCAGTAATTTAGTGTAAAATAATATTTTATTATGTTGCACATTTTGTCCATTCACTTAAATAATATTTTTTACGTTATTTAAAGATAGTTTGTTATAAATTCTTTTTCTTATTGTTATCATATTATTTTATAAAGAGAATTAATGTGTGTATTTGTTATTAGAGTATACTCTCATACAATGGTGGAGCTATAATTGCTATGAAAGGAAAAAATTGTGTAGCAATAGCTGCCGATCGTAGATTTGGTATTCAAGCCCAAACTGTAACTTGTGACTTTCAAAAAATATATGAAATGGGCCCTCATTTATACGTTGGACTTCCTGGACTCAGTACCGATAGCCAAACAGTGATGGAAAGACTGCGTTTCCGCTTAAATTTATATGAACTCAAAGAAAATAGAAAGATTCATCCTAAAACGTTTGCTGCTATGATATCAAATCTATTGTACGAAAGAAGGTTTGGGCCATATTTTATAGAACCAATTGTCGCTGGTTTGGATCCTGTTACATTTGAACCATTTATTTGTAATATGGATCTGATAGGTGATTTAAACATACCAGATGATTTTGTAGTTGGTGGAACATGTGCAGAACAATTATATGGTATGTGTGAATCATTATACGAATCCAATTTGGAAGCAGATGAACTTTTCGAAACAATTAGTCAAGCTTTAGTTAATGCGTTTGACAGAGATGCAATGTCTGGTTGGGGTGCTATCGTCCATATTATGTAAGTATTTAAAAGTATATAGATAATTCTTTTCGATACTAAATAGATTTTATAATATTTATTTTTTTGTAGCGAAAAAGATAAAGTCACCACGAGAACCATTAAGACACGTATGGATTAAAATATTTTTTTATCATTATTTTATGTTTAAATCAACACAGAATTATTCTAATTATTGTAATAGTTAAGCTAATACAAGCGATTACAACAAAAGTAATTTTCAATAAACTGCCACTAAAAGAAAAATATTGTATTCTTTCCTTTCTCACTTTTTATTAATTTATGAGAAATCAAATAATAGAAAAGATAATTAAATCGTATCGAACGTTGATGTTATTTAACACTTACAATTTTAGTTTAGTTTTTTCTTATTTCTCTTATTTCATTATTTTAATTACGAATATATACAATTTTTTTAAATCACTTATTAGAATTATTTACTTTTATATATAAGTGGATTCTAATTTTTTATAATTTAACAAATAATACTTAATAATTCAGTGATCCCATTCGTACGATAATTATCGTACGCGTCACATAATTTGAAGCCCTGTACGATCCAAAATTCAACTTGTACGATAATTTACGATTATTCGATATTTAAATATAATATTCGATATACCTTGATTTTGTTTTTTTACGCGATTCGGTTGCAGCGCACCCTTGCGCACATAGTTTGTAATTGATTAGAGAGCTAGGTAACAATTAAATATAGCTCGGAAACCAATAAAAAGTCAGGAAAACCCTGAAAAATAGGAAAATAGGAAAATAGGAGACGAAAAAAGACTTGAGGACCTAAAAAAAAAAAACTTTGTAAAAGTTGGAACTGTTATTATTTTTTGCTATTTTTGCTGATTTAAACATCTTAAATCTAAAAAATTCTACAAATGTATAAGTGTCAAATCCAGAATTCCCAAAATTCCAAATTTTTTCCTGTGTGTACGATAATTTTTCTGTGTGTACGATAATTTGACGGCCCTGTGTCGATCAGATGAGCTAAAGCAGTGCTGTCAGATCGTGGGTAAATCTTACCCTCTCCCTGTGCCACTGGGATTGCCCACAATGAAAGTTTTCCATGTCCGTGTGTTTGGGATGTCGAAAGAAGCCGAGTGTAACCGAAGTTGGCGGTTGGCCACGAAGTGGCACACTATGAAAGCGACTCGTGTCGTCCGAACACATGGACACGAGTCGCTTTCATAGTGTGCCACTTCGTGGCCAACCGCCAACTTCGGTTACACTCGGCTTTCCTCGACATCCCAAACACACGGACATGGAAAACTTTCATTGTGGGCAATCCCAGTGGCACAGGGAGAGGGTAAGATTTACCCACGATCTGACAGCACTGCACTGAGCTAAAGTCTCTGGGATGACTGCTTAATATTAACACTGCGCATGTCACTCTCGAGCAAATGTGTATGGTGCGCCGCGTTTCGAGTTCGCAACTCAAATTTATTATTAAATGAAAGAATTTAATAAATATTATGGCTACCAATATATTATGTACCGCAATTCGAAGATTAGCTATTAATTCACGTGGTATGTATAACATTGATGATTCTATTTATTAATTTGAAAAAAGAAAATTAAGTAGCGTAAAATTACCTAACCTTAAAATTTATTCAATTTTGCTAGATTATTATTGAAAAAATATATTTTACGCACAGTAATATTTTAATTTAAAAAAAGAATTACATGACATTGTACAATTTTTTCCATTTACGAACTTTTAATGTTCGTAATAATCATTCATTAAGGATTCTACATAATGTAATCTTATTTTCCCTTCCCTAAATAGAATGAATTTTAAATAGTTTTTTTTTAGGTATATTTCCTGCAAGACGTTATTTTAAACATGAAGCTATTTTAGATAAAGAACAAATTAATATTATTTCATTGTTTCGTAACAATAATGGCGATATATTTAAAACTAATTTTAATTTAAAGATCAAGTTTGTACCAAGAACGTTAAATATTGATTTTGAATTACCAGTGAATAATTATGTATATAAAAATATTATTGATAGACCTGTTATGGGAATATCCAAAATAGAAAATCCAAATAGATATTTACCCATTTGGCGTGATTTACCTGTTTCAAATAAATCTATGGAATTGCCTACAATGGAGAATGTTATTGAGAAGCAAGCCATAAGAATGTTAATCATAAGACGAAAAAAAATGAAGAAACATCAGCGTAAGAAGCTTAGAAAGAAAATGCAATTTTATTGGAGAAAAATAAAACAAAAAAGAGAATTATTGAGGGAAAAAGCTTTTCAGGCCGAGCAAATCGCATTCATAAAACAGGCAGAAAGTTTTGATGCTGCAAAATATGTCAATGAGAGATTAGAAGAACTCGATAAAGAATTCGTGCCAAGAACATTTAGAGGTGAAGTATTACCTCAAGAAGTAATTAAGAAATTTATCGAAGATATCAAATGTAAAAAAGAAGCCAGAAAGGATATACCTAAGTTGACTTTATAAAAATTCATTTACATTATAAATAAACACTTGATTTAACTTCATTTTTTAAATTAAAATTTAATTCAACGATGCTTACCTTTACGTTTAAATACAAAATATACTAGGATGTAGAATAAAGTATAATAGGAAATTTCATAAACAAATCTTTGTATTTTTTCTGTTTTGTGAAAAAAAGGTAAGTCGCTCGTCTTATTCTTTCTTAAGGAGTACTCTGTATAAGTGACATGTAAATTAGAATTAAATATTTCATTTTATGTACAAAGATAACAAATTGAATGCTATATTAAACGATAAATATCAAATGATTTCTTATTTACATTTATGTGAAACTAATTAATTATAGCTATATTAAAGATATAAAGTTCATCCAAATCTGCCGCGATCTTAAAGACCTTACATTCGTATATTACGTTTTTAACCAATTCAAGAATTATCTTTACTTCATGGTCACATTAGTCGTTTATATACAAGCATTATACTATAACATAATACTATATCATATCTAATAAATAGCACCTTTTCTTTAATTGTACACATATCGGTAATATGCAGGAATATGTTTATTAGAAATAATAGTAAATGTCTTTCGAAAGAAAGCATTTCTTTTCTTTTTTTCCTTAAATAGTATTTTTGAATAATTTATTTGTACGTATTTACAAAGATTTTCGATTATTGCGTTTATTATTATATTGTATTAAAAATATTTCTAAGTTATTTAAAGTATTATTTTATATTTAAATCGTACAGATGAAGTTAGCGATATTGTTTCTAATAAATATATATCTGCATCTTTTCTTATCAACGAATAAATACAATATATAGATCTACACAATTGATTATCCTATCTATAAATACATAATAAGAGTCATTTTGGCTAGATTTGTTTAAGTCTTTTAGATACTGCAAATGCTCCACACGGGTTTTTAAAAGTAATGCTTATTTTTTATTAATTTGCTTTTGGTTAAAGTTATATTGACTGTTTATAATAATAAATAACATTGTACGTCGTTTTCTTTTCATATTATATTCGTTACATTTTTTAATTTGCGTATGAAAAATTCATAAAAGATTAAAAAATTAAAAAAGTTATATTTGCTTGCGAGTAATATACAAGTGCAATAAAATAATGATGCAGAGAATTATATAAATAAAACTAAAATAAATTAGATACATATATAGGTGCGTACAATATTAATGAATAAGACGGACGCCATAAAAAGGCTATTCAAATATTAAAAACAAATGAGAATTTAGAAAATACAATTTATATGAAAATGAAATATCGTACTATCTATTATAAAAGCTGTGAAAGATTGTATTAATTATTGTAATAAATTTCTCGAAAAATCGATCATCAAAATAAAACGAAATGGATCACAGTTCGAATTTAAGGCACCTTTATACTAAGCAATAAGTCAACTCTTATTGTTAGTTGTATTAGCAATATTAGAATTTGTTAAAAAATGAAAAAAAGAGCAATGAAAACTGAAAATGTAATAGTTCAAATATTACAAATTAGCACCATACGATCTATCAATTGTAGGATCTTTACATGCGTTAACGTTGTTCTTAAAAAACGAAATTAATCAGCATCATTAAGGTAGAATCTGGCCCTTTTTAATTTCTAATACTTGTGGGCTATTACGCGTTCTTCCAGTGTACAAATTATTACTTCTTCCAGAGAAGTAGTCTTCTATTTCTTGAAGAGTTTTTCCTTTGGTTTCGGGAAGACATATATAAAAGTATATTGTACCGAATAATGAAATACAACCATAAAGAATAAAAGTACCATGCGTCGTGAGTGCACTTGCAAAGAAGGGATACGTTTTTACAACTACGAAAATGAAACTATGAGCGGTCATTGTTGTTAAGCCGCCGATAATACCTCGAACTTGTACGGGATATACTTCTCCGATCATTATCCAAGGAATGACTAGGAATCCGAGGGTACATGTGATTGTGTACGTAAATATACAAAGAACTGGTATCCAGGTAGCAACAAATGGTAAGTGATTAATTACCCAATATTCCTTTAACCACATATAACCACCTAATCCGATCATAGATAAACCACAACCCACAGATGACACCATAGTAAGTGGTCTTCTACCGGAACGTCTACACGCGATGCAAGCAACTATGGTAGAAACTAATCTTACTATACCCAAAATGACCGCAGCCAAATACTTATTTATCGTTGTTCCGGAATCGTTAAAAATTTCAACCGCATAAAATGTTATCACGTTCGTACCGGAAAATTGGTAAATCAAAAAATATAAAAAGAGCAAAGCATATGGTTTAAGAGCATTAGGTTTAAGAAGTGCACTAACGATTTCACGGAATCCAGTTAATCGTTTGAGATTATTCTTATTGGAGAACTGTTCCAATGTATCCATTTCTTGATCAATGTTGTAGTTGTTATCACGGAATTGTTGCAAAGCTTTTCTCGCTTTATCCGGTTTATTTCGAGATATTAGATAAGATGGAGTTTCTGGAAATATGAACATCAGCAGTAAAGCAGCAAGCGGAAGAATTCCGCTGATGGCCGCGCAAATATTCCACGGGAGGACACTTCCTAGAGCATATTCTATCAGAACACCCGTACTAACACCAACGCTCGACATGGCTGTTAACATTCCTCTAAGATGTGGTTGAGTCACTTCACTAGCATAAACTCGAGCTGGTGCACCCACCATACCAGATCCAAGTCCAACAAAGAATCTTCCAGCATAAATCATGTGAATGTCGGTTGCAAATGCGATTAATATCCAACCAAGTAATGCTGGAATTTCAGTGATAATTAAGGATTTCTTTCTTCCAAACATATCCATCATGTATCCTGATGCTAAGCAACCAATTGGAGTACCAATAGACGACATGCTAGCTGAAAAAGTAGAAAATATTTTTTTAATTTTTAATTCATCAATCTCAACTTCAACAACATTGCGTTTACTTAATTTATTTGCCAAAAATCTCATTTTCTATTATATTTAATTATTTACCTATCCAAGATTCTTCCGACGACCCTTGAACAATTGGAATTGTACTATTAGCTTCTTGGAGTTGAGGAAGTGCTATGGCCGAGAAGCCAAAGGTCATTCCGGTGTTAATTGTTCCCAGTTGAGCGACCAATGCTGCTAGAACTTGCCTTACGGCACTACCCTTGTCAATGGGTCTCGCACTTTCTGGGTCATTGTTTGTACTATTTGCCGCTGAATTAATTTTCCCATCATCCGTGGATAATTGGGTTTTTGGTAGTAATGCTGAGTCTACCAACGACGTCCTCTCAGCATCGTTTAAATTTGACATTTGTCTGGAAATATGAAAAAACAAATAAAATTAAATTAATATAAATTTATTATATTTTATTTATTTTTTTGTTCTTTTTTGTGTTTTTATTATATATTTTTTTTATAATCAAATTAAATGCATATTGTCAAAATCACACTGTCGAAGGGACTATTCAAGCTTAGTTTCGAAGTTTGGCCCGTTTCGTGATCACTAAAATAAATTTGACCCAAATTTGAGTTTCTCATATGTCATAACTTAGTGCTTTTTTCCTGAAAATGAATAATAGTAAAATCTCGAAAAGATATTGCCATTGTATTTACATAAAATTGGCCAATTGCCGGTCAACTATTACTAATATGTTTAGTTCATTATTTTCGAGGATTCGACTTTCGTATACTTTCGTATGTCGTATTGCACATAAGCTTTCGCTATTATTACATTTAATACGAGAAAAAGAAACAAGTAAATGATACTATTTTCAATAAAAATTCACCCGTTTTTAACATACATACTGATACTGTTACATGATGCAAATTAGTCACCAGGAATGTAGCGTAATTGGAATTAATAGTGTACGATTTGCAACAATTCGTTTACATTAGAACGTCTTCTCTCATTTATTCAATTAAATATAATCCATGGGAGTGAGTTAAAGGAAATTCAATAATGATAATTATGTAAGGAAGTTAGTTCTCTAATTGTTTCATTTCATTAGAGATAGTCGTGTGAAAGGCAGATTCAATGTCAATTGAAAAAGTTCTACGAGAAATTGATCGATTATAAATAAGAAAATGTGTGCTCCTGTTGTTAATGTGTATATATGGGTGTAGTGTAGCTGGTCATCTGCACAGATATACTATTTTATTTGTTATTTTCTTTCTTTATATTATTCCTTTTATAATACATTTTGTAATAAATTTTGTAATAAAAATTAATCGATTTTGGAACGAGAATACTGTATTAATACGTGTCGCATTCCTTCGATATTATTTTTATTTCTTTTTAGTATATTTTCTTTATTTATTACAAAAAGTGTAATAAATTATAAGTATACTATATCAGTATTTTTTACCATTTTTACAAAGAAATATCGATTATATTATATGAAAGTTTATTATATTAGATTTTCAAGATATTAAACGAAATCCTTATATTATATTTATCATTTTACTAATGAAAAATTTCAATATAAGAATTAATTTTGTGTCTTTTTTTATATTCAAATTCGAATGCAAATCTAAGATTTCTTAGCGACTACTAAACTATTTCGCAAATGTTTATAAATACGTTGAGGTACAAAGTTATAATACCATATATCTGTCATCTTAATCGTCATTTTATAAGATTGAAAATAACTTTCGCAACAAGTTGAAAGTTGCATTTGCAATCACGTGGAAAATCGGCGATGAAAGGTGTAGTTGTTTTTATACGATGATTGCTTAACAAACATACATAAATTATAATATATTCTAATATATTAGAAATAGAAATTGTAGGTAAATTGTAGAAAGTTACGGTACAACATTTATATCTTATGACAATTACTATGTAATTAGTATTATCTTTTTTTTTTATATTTTTACAAGTTTCGTAACAAAAAATGTATTGTTTTTTAATTCTTACAATTAAAGGAAGTAATTTCTACTTTTTATTTTTTTTAATGACTCACATTCGTCACGCGATATCATTGAATGATTTTCCCTTTGTTTTTTTTATCTCTCTTTGTTTTTTTTATTTTTCTAAAAGAAAAAAAAAACGTTTCCGATGTGCCTTTAAAACATACTAAAAATAACGAAATTTTTGTAACGAAATCGAGATGATGAATTTATTATCTCTCGTACTATCTTTTTTACGATTCTCCAATCGTTTTATAATTGATAATGCATCGAGGTAGAAAATTTCGAATGTGAGTATATTACAAGATCAATTTAGGAATAGAAAAACAAATTAACAACAAATCGACCTTTGTTCGTACATCGCTATCGTTATTTTTGTTGAACACCGTTTACACTACCGTTTCTCCTTGATAAGTAAACAAAAAATAGTTATCAAAATTATAATTAAAATAAACTAGTCATTCATTAAACATTTTTTTATCTATCTAGGATAAGTCAAATGTAATAAAGATATTTTTTCAAAACGATAGATCTTACTAGATTTGTTCATGTTTTAGTAAATGGTATATGTTGCATAGGTAAATATACATAAATATATATCTATACTTAATTTTGTATATTTATAAGTGAAACATGCATATTTATCGTTTCGTGTCGTAACGTTTTTTTGTCACAATTTTTCCACAGATAAACAAACCGCCTTGGAAAAGTTACATCGTTTTTTTTTCTCTTTCACATTTGCATTCGCATTCTCAAAGGTTAACAAGAGTCACGTGCGAATAATGAAGCGGGAGATCAGGGAATACTGGCACGGTGCTTCGAGAATTATTTTTAAACTTCTTCTAAGTCGTTCATTGTCTACGCAATTGAAAATACGATTGTTTTCATGTTTTTTCTATCGTTAGTTTCATTTATTTTTCGCGTTAAATGGAATCAGCTAATTACATATACTCGAAAAATGAAACTATTCTAAATATATTTTTTTTCTAAATTTTTAATTTCAATTAATTTTTATTACTGACGATAACAATTTCTCGTTGTGTATATGTGTGGTGTGAATGCGCGTGTTCTCGTGTGTGCGGGTATTAATCTATTCTGAAGGATATCCTATGATAATAATAATAATAATAATAATAATAATAATAATAATAATAATAATAATAAGCTGACAGATTTGTGAGCTGATTTGTAAGTAAAATATAAATAATTACAAAGTAAGAAGAATTTTTTAGCATTGCTATTACGGTTCTACTGGATTTTATATTTGATTTTTCTTATATAAGATAAGATATTTTATATAGTAGAATAAACGAAACGTTTGATAATTATAAAGTATGATATATTTTTGGTGCTTTTCGATAATAATCTCCTATGATCAGCTGAGAGAAAGATAATTTTTAAAAAGTATCATTCAAAAGTAGTACTACTCGGCAAAGTTCAAATATACGGTCGGTTTAGTTGTTGGCTTGGTCATTCGTTAGTGACACTCTTAGAGGACGCATGCATATTAATAGATAAATTGCATCATGTACGGTAAATAGATATCAAATAGAAAAAGAAAAAGACTCGATAGAGAGAGAGAGAGAGAAAGAGAGAAAGCAAGTGTATATCTTATCAGTTATCAATATTTTTCTTCTCTTTCTAAAATCCTTTTTATTTTCATTAGAATTGAAACGGAAAATCATTGTCGTCGAATAATAACAGAAAACTCGATAATCTTTAGAAAGTTGTAAATTATTCTCCCGCGCGCGCGCGACAGTGTATATTAATAACTTGACTACTAATCAAGAATAAATGAAAAATGATAAACAATCGTAAACTAAACGTAACCTTGGCGTTAAGCCAACGAGTTCGCGCAAACACGTTGCCGCGCCGGGCCGTCTCGGAACTTTTCTTGCTTGCTTATTTTTAAAATGTTTTCTTTCTGTCATTTTTCTTAAGATCTTTTTCATAGATTTGTTTTTTTCCTCTTTTTTTTATCTTCTGCGATATGTATTCTAGATTTAAAAAATGATGTTTTATTTTATTCAATGATATAATGAAACTGATGTAAAATATTTTATTTGATATTTCGATATTTTGACTTCTTATTTTAGCAACGACAAATGTAATATCTCGAATCGTACGTAACAAAAACTCGATATTTTCGAGTGCGTGCGCGCCTTTTTTCTCGTGTTTACAAATTCAACTATGAATCTTAGCGTGTGAGTAAATACCACGTGCGAGCTAAGAGATATTCTTAGAGAGAAAGAGAGAAAGAGAGAATAACAGCGAACGATGAAATGAAAAGAATAAGAAAATATAAATTACTCACTCTGCCATGACGTTGGTATTTCTTTTGCTTCTTCTTTTCTTCGTTAAGGCGCGATCACTTGTCAACTATTTTTCTCAGCGAAGAGACAAAGAGTCAAACGAGGAACAGTATATGTGAATACGTAAAAATTATCACCTTATATATACATATATAATATAAGTATGGTCGGTAATATCACAGTTCGATGATCACGAAATTAATAGAATAACTTATGTGTGTGTGTGTAAAATCACACTTCGAGAAGACTGCGTTTTCTTGCCTCTTCTTTCGTCTTGCTTCTCTTCTTTCTTATCTTGTTTGAAAATAATTTCAAAAAAAAAATAAAAAAGAAAGAAACTTTTTTTTTCTATCTTTATCTCCTTCGAAACGTATAATCTTCTCTATACACGTGTTATACTTGCGTTATTTTCTTTTTTTTCAAATAGTTCCGTTGTAACCGATCGTACGACCGATTTGATAAAAACCTTCGAGAGTTCTTAGCCATGAGCAGCTAGTCATTTGCGTTTGATTATTTTCGTTAACAAATAAAAAATAAAAAATAAAAAATAAAAAAAATAAAAATATAGAAAGAGCAAAGAAAAGAAAAATAAAGAAAGTACAAAAATTTATCAAACTCGATTTAATTATTAAATATTTTATCTATTTCTCGTTTTGTCTTCGTTCAATTTCACAAAAATTAAAATGAAATTAAAAAATAATGCACACGATGGTGACGGTGACGATAACTATGACAACGACACAGTTATACTTGAGATCTTTACACGAGGACTTGCGCGCAGCGAATGGTTTCATAGAACCGAGTGTGAAAACATTTATACGCCGATGAGACCGATCTTCCTCTTTCTCTCTTTCTCCCTCTTTCACTCTTTCCTTCTTTCTTTCTTTCTATTTTTCTCTCTCTCTCTGTTTTTTTCTCTTTCTATTTCTCCCTCTCTCTTTTCGAATAAGATGCGCACGCACAACAGATCGCTAGTTCAAACTTTAACTTTTCAAGGAGGGGGAAGGGTCTTGACAATATTTATATATATATATATTATGATTATTACGGGGGTGATTGTGGATACACGAGAGGTTGAATGTGTACTCGAACACGTTATTTTCTCGTAATCGATAAAAAATAGAAAGAAAAATCAACAAGAAAGAAATTCGTCATTAGTTCAAACTCGTTGACTCGAGTAGTACTCGTAAACGAAGCTTTCCCTAATTATTATACTGATGCGAGGATCTGTTTGTGTTTTCATTCTTTCTTTGTTTTACTTTTCATCGTTAAATTATTCGAATTGTTTCTTTTTTTTTTGTTTTACCGTACATATATATAGTAACATTAGTAATTTATTCTATGGATATAATTATATAGTACAACTTTTGACCTCATATTTATTCACGCAAAACGTTAATGATATAAATGACGTGATTTTTTTTATATTTCTTTTGGAAAAGAAATCTGATTGTATTTTTATCCTCTTATTTTTTTTTTAATTTTTTTCTTTATTTTCTTTTTTGAAAGACAAGTATCGTATTGTTAATTTTTCTCTTTCTAACTTCGTTATGCAACAACGAACGTTGACGATAATATATAGTCGATTATTTGAAATCATAGAAACCGTTTTTTCTATAATAGAACTTTGTTTTGTTTCGAACATATCGTTATCGAAAAAAGCGGATAAAAAATAATTGAAAATGAGACGAGATCGTAAAAGTCACGAGTGATTCGCAGACGCAGTCTGCTATCGCTCCAGATGATAAAGTCTAATGACGAAAATTATCACTTAGGGGAGTATGTTTTATACGCCTTGACAATGTCAGACGTGTGTTCGGTAATTGTCTACAAAAGTGTATTTAAACGTGGGAAGAATCAATCGTCCAACGTAGTATAGATGTAACAATATGTAACGAGATATTTACATTTAAATATCCATGCAAATGCATATCTCGTAACCTGTTTAAATATATATATATATACATACATTTTATACTTATTAAAATATGTAGGTGGGTTGAGAAGTTTTGAGTTTGACATAAAAATCAATTTTTTCATCCTTTACATCAAGAAAAAAGAAATAAAAGTTGCTTTACTGTCGAGACTCAAAACTTTTCAACCCGCCCACGTGTATCATTCTAATCATTACGATTTTAAATTTGTTACTTGTGTTTGTCGATTTACAATAATTCAATTTATATCTGTATATATAATATATATATTTCAATTTAATCTGTCTTAATCGATAAGAAAGTTACGAACGGAATTTTAATGGTAAAAAAATAAAAATAATAATAATAATTCTTGAGCTTGTTACATTTACGAATGACGAGAATAAAAATCTTTACGATTATTTCCTGTATTCCGTCGTTTTAGCAATTGATCAATATTTTATTATAATCAATTGCGAAGAAAATTTTTTGCGAATTCGAAAAATAAAATAAAAGAGAGAGAGAAAGGAAAAGAAATTTTTATCTTATCTGATAAAAAGGTTATTGGAGGTTGAGTGTTAGTTTCGTGAACTTTGTTTATAAAAGAAATCATCTTTTTTTCTAACTTATTCAAAATATATTATATTTAAATGAAAAATTTTATTAAAAACAATGATATCAGTTGGATAATAATTTAATATATATAATATTATTCATATAAATTAGAAGGAAAGAAGTTTATCTTTGATAGAAATAAAATAAATATTAATAAATTTTTTTTTCTTGGGCATTTAAGTTTAACAAAATAAACAAACGGAAGTAGATCTAATCGTCGAGGAGAGGAAGCAGGGTTCCCTTGGTTATCATCGAACTAGTGGATGACGAATTCACTATGTACATATTCTACAAGAGAGAAGATAATCTGTCTCTTTATCTCTCTCTCTCTCTCTCTCTCTCTCTTATCCTCTCTTTCTCTTTATCTCTTAAATATACTTACGAACTTGTAAAAAAAGTTTAATTTCACTCTTACGATTATAAGTATTCTATCTATTCGATTAATGAGATAATTTTTAATTCAAACTATATATATGCAGTGTATGTTTAATTGTAAAAACGCTAATTGTTACTTATATAGGAAATATCAAATTTTTAATATTTCATATATATAATACTATCTTAATAGTAGTCATGTAATTAATGTGATATATATTTAAGATAAATTATAAAATAGTATTTATATATATATATCTGTCAAATAAATTTGCTAATTGTAACGTGTGTATAGCATAATAATAAATAATTTTGAATTAAAAAAAAAAAATTTATTCGCAATCATAATTATCAGTATTTAAATATCTTTGAACTTGTTCAAAAGTAAAAGTAATATTTTTATATACTTGTATTTGATAAAAGTACACACCAGCTTATATGTTTCTATTATCGAACACGATGTTAAAGGTAATATATAAATAAGACAAGAATTTTATTTGGATTTATTACTTACGATTCGAGAAATGGTTTATCCTCGGCTTTGTCGATGTTAATGCTACTGGTGAATGTTTCGTAATTCTTGTTCCTGGACATGTCGACGAAGGACTGAACACGTTTATGTCCAGTTACTGTGCCGATTAAATCGTGCTCGGTGGTTTATCGAGCCTGCCGTCACGAGTTTTCTCCTATCAGTCTCGTAGTCATGCGCTTCTTACGTATATGACGTACTATTTTGTTTTCTTTAACTTCCCTTATATTTTCTCTCACTCTCTTTTTCTCCGTTTTAATACATACGCGTTATAATATTACTTCTTCCTATTATTTTCACATCCAAATGTACACGTATCTCTAATTATTTGATCAGCTAGTTCGTATTCTTTATCGATCGTTTACATCCTTAGATAAATCCTTTTTCGTTTTATTTTTTTCTCTTTTTTTTCTTTTTCCTTCTTTCAATTTTAATTTCAATTATTTCATTTGTTCGACAATCTCTACGAACCGCAAATGAGTAAACCGACACATCTGTGTTAGAATTTATTCTTAATAACATTGCCGAGAGGAAGATCGTTTAGTATTAGAAGTCCTTATGATAACCTCGTTTGATTATTTACACGTTATTTGAATGTACTGTGGATGACAAGTCTTTGTTTATTCATCTCATTATTCTCTCTTTCTTTCTTTCTTTTTTTTGTTCTTCCTATTTATTATTCTCTCTATTCTCTTATTGTATCATTTCTTTTGTTAAGCGTATATCGATGCTCCAAAAGAGAAATAAATTTATAAGTAAATAACATTATGTCCCGTCGACCCAAATTTTTTTCATAATAATCAAATATTCAATATTTTACCAAGCCATGCAATCTGGATTTTCTGATCTTTAAATGTACAATCAATTTTGAAGTTCATAACGTGGTTCGATACTTGTTGCGTTATCGTTATCGATTATCTCAAAAGATTTGATGACCTAAGGAACGAGTTTGTCGTCGTAAAAGAAAGTTTCCGTGATGTCTTCGACAATACATTGATTTATATTACAAATAATTCCATTTATCCTTGTAATCGAAGTCGGAGTTAAATGATTTCAGGAAATTTCTTTGTAAAAACAAAATTAAAGGATAAAATCAATTTATACGTAAATACATATGTATGTATTTAAAATCGTTTCAATCTTTCTTAAGTATTGACATTAAATATAAACAATTCGTATTGATTTATTGATTAAACGACCGGGACACGAGTTATTTATAATTATGTATTATGTAAATCTTTTATTTATGGCCTTACGTGTTTGGAAAAAATCCGATTTTTAATTCATTCTTTTTTCTTTTTTTTCTTTTTTTATTTGTTCTCAAGTCATCGAATTATTTAATTGTCGTGAAAGATACATTTTTGTTAGTTTCCTTTTCATTGCAATTTCTCGTCTCGTTTCAGTTACAGTTGATAAAGGCTTGAAGATTATTTGATAAAAAAAGAAAAAAAAAATCGTGTGAAGATCACACGTGTTAGAAGTGAAACCTTCAAAAAACAAAGTTTCGAGAGAATGAGACGAATGCACAGTATCAAGAGTATAAGATAATTGTTGGATTTATTTATTATAATATTATTACCATACATAAAAAAGTAACCAGTATGGTCTCTTGGTGGAATAGCTGATAAAAAGTACACTTTTCCAAATTTAAGCAATAAAAATGGAATGCTGAATAAGATAGTTATAGATAGACACCAAAATCGTAGGATGTTTATCAAAGGAAATATAATTCGTCGGAAACTAAGTAAATACGAATAATCCTCTTTTTGAAACTCAGGTATAAAATTTTTTTTGTTAGTATGGTTTTCAATTTTCCGTTTTCATCTACATTCTTGCGCTGTCTAACAAACATTTTAGGATAGACGAAATAAAGACGTTACGAAAAACATATGGAAAATACTGCTGGACTGAACAAAGGTTTTGGTAAAATGCAATGGGAGATCTAATAGAGATCTAATAGAGATATTCTCTAGAAATGTTTTTTTCAACTCCATAGCCTGCCACACTTCGAGACCCTTATTATTTATAACATATCTCGTCTTTATTCTTTGTACCACAAACTTAAATTCTCTAAATACTCTCGTCTAAATAAAGATCTGAACAACGAAAAATCCAAAGAACGCATTGAATCGTATCGTTCTCTGCT